TAAAAAACTTAACTTAAAACATAACCCATTGACTTATAAGTGTTCCAAAGTAGATTGTAGGTATAATTTTAAGAGGTCAGAAATCAAAAAGCCTGGACAATGTCACCAACATTTAGCCAACATGATGCCAGAAGGAGCAGCAAGGTTTCCCTGTTATTGTTTGTATTATTGTAAGATTTGGGCATTGCGCAGATCATCTATATCCCAATTATCACCTCAGCTGACAAAAACAATTCTTGTCCACAAACGTTTCAGTCAAATTAGTTTTTGACATTTGGAAGAATCTTAAAATAGCAACCAGACTGGTTTAAAGAAATAAAAAACTACTCCCAACTTTCCCAGCAGAGATAATAACTTGGGTGTGTCGTATTTAGTTTTCAACAACTCTTACACAATACACACCTCTCAATACAAGTCCACGCTCGGGTGCTACTGTGCACACCTCTGTTATTATGAAGGTAGAATAAAAATGTTGGACTCAATCATTCCACTCTTCATCCATCACACCAGGACCGACACGTTTTGCGTCACTTTCAGCTACTTTGTGGGCGAGGTTGAGTTTCTGGAGAGACCAGTTAGCCAGCATGGGAACAAAGAGACTTGAATATGGGTGGGTGCAGGTGCACACACGCACGCACCGCTCTGGTCTGAGAACAGGGCTCAGATGCTACCACGACTGGTTCTACAGGTGAGACAGACATCTGCATCTGAAGCACTTTTGGAACATGACCAGGAAATACAGAGATTAAGGAGAGGTTCAAAGTAACACAGAAACAAGGGGAAAGAAGGGGAAGGGAAAATCATTCTGACCTGCCCAGTCTGTGGAACGTGGGGTTGTTGGGTTTGGTGGCATTATTAAAGAACAGCTCTAACTGGAAGGCATGAGGTGATGTCTCCCTGGAACACACACACACACGAACACGAACACACACACACACACACACACACACACACACACACACGCACACACACACACACACACACACACACACATTAATGTGGCAGTCATGGCTCAATCTCCTTCACTCCAAACAACTTTATTGAGTATTACGTTAAACATCAAGATAGGAGTTGGCGATCATTATGACAATATAGTCAGTGGCCACTTTATTAGGTACACCTGTACAATCTATTGCAATGCAAATACAACAGCCATAAAATATTTTATTTGTAATGTTCAGTATTTGTTGTCACTGTTGGAAATGTGTAGACTGAATTGTATGTCTATTATTATGATCCTATGGGTGGTGTTGTACTGGACTGCATCATATCGAGAGCAATTTAAATTGTTTTTGTCCTTACTCACAAAAGAAGGGGAAGAATATGAGCAGCACTAACTATGACCTCAGTGCTAAAACATATAAATCAACTAACACCTGTATGACCATGTCAACAAAAAGTAAAAAAAAATAATGGCATCTTAAAAAGTAGACTTTATGGCAGAACAGTTGTATTTGTCTGGATTAGATTGTACAGGTTTATCCAATAAACAACTAATGTGTGTAATATGAGACAATATACATTTTTATTTTTATCTAATTTGCTGAACTAGGCAAAACAGACATTATTCATAATCACCTTAACAGATGTTTGACTCAATTCACTTCATCACAACTGTATAGCAATACTGCGACACATATTATGACATATACCCTGATAGAGGATTATATTTATAATGTTACAACCCCTACACAACATAGTGTCATGACCTGCTTTGGTCTGTGCACTGATGAGCACTGAGCCCATTCGTTCAGTTAAATTACATCACACATACCCAACAGGCTCAGTGGGAATCGAGATCCACACAACAACGAAGCTCAGGTGTCAAAATACTTATCTACCCACACACAGCTCAGGTATCTGTAGCAAATAAACTTATCCAGAGGTGAGCTAGCATTGGCAATGAGGTTAAGGATTTCCTGCAACAAGGGATGAGCCATCTAGCTTTTCTGTCTCTGATACCTTGAGTGGGTACCTGCTGATACTGAAGAGCTTTACAATACCAATGCTCTTTTTTTTTTACCAGATTTACAATCTGTATTCCTTAATATGAAGAAATAATGTATTTAATTTATTGCAAGGTTGCTTTAATAAACTGCATTTGGTTGATATAGGTGGACCTAATACACTAGCTACTTACTGTATTCATGTTTGAGATATCAATATTGCTCTTACCCAAATGCTCTGTTGTCAGGTACGTTGCTGTGTGCTTTGATCCCTGGAGGAATGACCCGCACTTCTGTGATCAGCACCCCGCAAGGAAACCGCACCACATCCACGTTGGTTAACTGAAGAGCATTGAACATCATAATACAAATACAAACATTGAGATTATAAATGTCTTCAGTAACCACACGAACCAAAAATGATACTACAGACCAGAACAGTCTATTTTGCGAGACTTACAGTTAGCATTAGCCACTAAGCTGACATACAAACAAAATGCGCAAGTGTGCAATAAACAAAAGCGGCGGGGCGTGCTAGGATTATGTAAATACAATTACATTTAAATAATGTATTTAGTACAATTATGTGTAGATTTAGTCAGGTGTGTAGTGCAATAAAAGCTGGGAATTGCAACGTTATCGCAACAACCACGACACAACTGCTAATGTTAGCTATGTTGACATCGCTAGCTTGGAAGTTTAGCATCAATCTTCAAAACTCCTCAATATGCGCGATATGAGTATTGAATGCAGACAGCTCTACAGTTAATATATGAGAGGGTGGTAATGCGTGAGATATATTACCTCTGCACTCTGGTGCTTAAACGTATCTATAAAAAGAAGCTCGGTTGAAGTGTCCCCCGCCATCGCTTTCTTGCTCTCCATCGGGCCGAGGGTACACTTCCGGGTTGGCGAGTACTTCCGGAGCATGATCAACCACAACGCGAGCGCTCCGACATAAACACAAACAAACATGCATAAGAAATTGATTAACATAACAAAATATTAATATTAGCCTACTCTAAAGAGAAAAAAGCAACACTTATGTCTAAATTATATTACCTCATCAAAAAGTATTGCTATTTATATTAATATTAGCAATATGCCTATGAGTAATTGTATTCCTGTTGTTGTTAAAGTGATGGAAGATAATAGCCTACATGACCACTTATAATAAGTTATGATTCATATTTCCATACCATATAATATAGTATATTGTAATAGCATGTTCATGTTTCTCAATGAAAAGAGGGTGAAAAGACAGTTGCGGTCAGTGTATACGTTTCAGGTGTATTTGTTGTTTGCTTAATAATAGTTTTTGAAATGTAGAAATTATTTAATGAGTTGAAATTAAACATAAACGTAAAAGTATAACTAGGTACACTACAGGCTTCATAAATGTTCCGGCATTTAATCATTTCTTTTCATATGGAAACACTTAATTCGTGCAATATTTTTGCGTGGATTTCATTTCATTTTTATAAATACAAATGTGTTATATTTTTGCTGGGTGTCCTTTATTGTCAACATACTTAAACCTTTCAACGAGATGTGTCATTACTTTTATTCTCCTTAGAAAGGCCGGTAGCTTAACCATTTTACCCTTGATACCTTCCAGGGCCCGTAAATTGTTATACATTAAGATACTTAAATTACTTAAATACTGAAAAGTATTATGCATGAGAATGTACAGATATCCACGGTATCCTCCATGGTCTGCCACGTCCTAATCAGTAAACCACCTGAAGGAGGGAGGGGGCCGGTCGAGAGTCACGTGGTCACACAGGTAGATGCTTTACAAAAACGAGGAACGTTCAGCCATTACTCCGCGATGGTGACTGCGGGAGGATTCACGTAAAATTCAACACGCGACGAAACTTGGATTTACGGACCTCACCTTTACGCTCAGGTGTCAAAGTAAAGGTGTTTATACCTCGTGGCTCCTGCATGTGTCTCCTCTCCGGTGTATCTTCAGTTACTGTCCTTTAGCCTACTTTTGTGCAGCATTAGATTAGGGTTTTTTTTTGGATCTGTTTGTGTTCAGATGACGGCACAGGTAGACTACCTGGTGGTGGTTTTCACCGCCACATCTGGCGCGAGCGGAGAGCTGCTGGGATCTGACGAGAAGGAGCTCGAGCAGTTGGTTTGGCAGCTCGTGGATGTAAAGAACAAAACGGTAAAACATTGTAATAGACTTCTTATTACACTTAGTTATCGTTATTCTAAAGCAGGTGTTGTAGTGGTAAATAAAGGAGCAGACAGGTAAACAGGGCAACACTAGTAGGAAATAGACTCAAATACAAACGACAGGCATTTATAATAATGCCATGACTCAGGTGAGTAAACATATGAGCTCAAAATAGGCTCTGAAGTTATTCAGTATAATTAGAGGACAGATATATTCTCCTAATGATGTCTCCATTGCAAGGTGTTTAAACAGAGTTCCTGCTTTTGTTGTTCTTCTATGGGATGATATTAATGTAATAAAGCTCTATATTACCGACATTTAATGCTATCGCAGCAGCCTACGGCTTGTGAGTTTCTAGGGAGGCTTCTGTTTCAAGACTGACGTGTTTTTTTCTTCTTCTCTGAACCAGTTGGGCAAGGTGAATGAGCTCCTCATTAAGCCGGACCTCTCAGACTTGACTGAGGAAAAAGAGGAGGAGATGGAGGATGGGGTGGAGGAGAGCGTGGAAGAGGAGAATAGATCTCAAGCAGATAATGTCTCCACAGCTACAAGTCTTGAGACCGCATTAAACTTGGTAATAACCTCACTGGAGTTATTAGAAATAAGCATTTTTATTACATAGTTATTATTACTGCTGCCTGAGGATTTATTACGACTGTTTTCATTTCTTTCCTAAATGTTTGGCTCCTGTTTTTGCAGTTTCATCTACAACTGACAAACGAGGTGAACAGCGCGGGCGCAGGCACGTCAGCGTGTTTGTGTACAGACGGGGCCCTTCACATCCGCCAAGTGATTCATCCCGAGGCCGCAAGCAAGGTGAGTGAGCTGGATGGGTGAATGCCTTGCAGCCAGGGCGGATGTTCACTCGGCGCTGCAGGAACCTTCAGAGCTCACACAGTCACAAAGGGATGTGTTGTGTCAGCACTGTGCTCCTGGTTGAATTTAATGTCACGAGGAAAGAGCCGCTAACACAAACCTGTTTAATGACATACGCCCATGCACATACTTGTGCACATGAAACAACACCTCCACAATGAGGCGGATGGAATTGTCTTAAACCTGTGTAAAGGGTTGCACAGAGATTAATCTACTGGCTTGAGCAAACACCAATGCAATAAAACAGCAGCTGTCGATTGGCCTCGTGTTCACATCCGTTTCTTTAACTTCTTCCCCCTCCAGAACATCCTGGTCCCAGACTGTTTCTACTCTTTCTTTGACCTTCGGAAAGAGTTCAAGAAGCACTTCCCCACATCTGACCTCAAGGCTTTGAATGTACACATCATGGCAGATTGTATCCTTTTAATATGTCAGCTGTTTACATTGGGTGCGCCAGCGAACGTCTGTGAACTAATACATTATATGTAATGCATTTAATGTTTAAGTGTATTTTAGACCGTTGATGGTTATTTATCTGCATGTTCAGCTTGATCTTTTGAGCACACATCGCTCAGAAACACACAACACATACATTATAAGTTTATAAGCCTCGGGGTGTTGGCTGCAAGACTAGAGGTTTTGAAATGCAAATAAGGAAACAATGGCAGCACCTTGCTGAGCGCTCGGTGAACGAGTGTGTGTTCAGCCAACAGGACAAACTCCACACACACACCCACTGGAACAGGATAACTAACATCTCTGTGTGGGTTTCTCTTGTTTCTCTTTCTTTCTTTTTTTTCCTCCATTGTCACACAAAAACATACATTGTACATACAAAAACCCGTACTCTCCGAACTGTTAAGACTGTTTTATTTATTTCTTTGGCTGTTCCTTGTTTGCTTTCCTTGACTGCCTCCTCCTCAGCTCTTAGTGTACCTGTTGATGTGCCCGCTATGTGGGACCCCTCAACCACACAGGATCCGTCAGCCATATTGCCTGCAGGAATAGCAGTCCAGCAGGTCCAGGTTATGGGCAGCATTGTCCTTGCCCTGCTTTCTGAGCCATTAAGTGAGTCCCATATGTGATTTTACACAAAAGTGAAAGATTAGGGATTTGTCAGTTAGTTCGACATAAATTAGTTTACAGGGCAGATAAGAAAAGAGTGCAACTTCAAAGGCAAAAAAAGGATAATTAAGGAAAATGGAACTGAAACAGAAAATTAATGAGCAAGTATTTTGGTAATCAATTAATCGTTTCAGTCATTTCTCAAGCAAAAATGCCAATTATTTGATGGTCTCAGCTCCTCCAATGTTGGATGCTTTTTTGCCTTTTTTGGCTTACATACTTGTAAACTGAATATCTTTAGATTATGTCCTATTGGTTGGACAAAACAGGATATTTGAATATCATTTTCCAGCATTTTTTCCCCATTTTCTGACTTCTCTGCCAAACAAACAATCACTCAATAGATAGAGATAATAAAAGGCAAAGTCATCCACAATGACATTTATTGTGAGTTGCAGCCCTTAAGTGATTTGCTGTTTGTGTTGATTTCTGTAAAAGGAACCCTAAGTTAATAAATGCTTGAGGCCATTATCATGTTGATTACAAAGTACTAAAATAAGTTTTGGCTATGTGGTCGGCTTTCTGATCTAATTTTGGAAACCAAACTCTAATGCTTTCCCCATTAGGCCACACGTTTTCTACCCAGGAAAGAGTTAGTGAGAAGTTTGAGACTGGCACTTGGTAAGTAAAATTTGCTCAAGATAAATATAATTTTAGTTCTCTGCCTCTGAAATATACTACATCCACTCCTGCTGTGCTAATATCTCAGTGTGTGTGTGTGTGTTTGTGTGTGTGCAGCAGTAAGATGGAGAAAGTGTGTGACAACACGGTCATCAGAGCTAGAGGGTTGCCCTGGCAGTCTTCTGACCAGGACATCGCTCGATTCTTCAGAGGACTCAACATTGCCAAGTATGTTGTAGCTACATTAACGGCGCTCTCACTTATGAAGGACTTGTATTGATCGGTCAACATGATATATTTATTGAAACCTGCTGCTGACATAAGGTTTAACATCCTCTGTAACATTGTGTACGTTGTGTTGTTTAGAGGAGGGGCTGCGCTGTGTCTTAATGCTCAGGGGAGGAGGAACGGAGAAGCGCTTGTTCGTTTTGTCAGTGAAGAACACAGAGACCTGGCACTGCAGAGACACAAGCACCACATGGGCAACAGATACATAGAGGTAACCCGTGTGAACCCTACTAGTTGTTATTAGTTAAGTGAATAAGCCACGCTACCTGAACCTAATCTCTTATGCGGTTTACCTTGTTTCATTGCAGCTACACCTGAAGTGACAATAATTCCTTGTTTCTGTCTTGTTCCCTTCTAATGGCAGGTTTACAAAGCTTCAGGAGAGGACTTCCTGAAGATAGCAGGAGGTGAGCAGATATAACCACGTGTACTACATAGTATTTTACCTTATCAGCAGCAAAACTAGGCATCAAGTAAAATTAGGTTAGGTGTTTTGTGCCCAATATAGTTTGACCAAATTAAGTCCTGAAAATATGCCATCGAGAGTGCTGCTCCAGGAAGGAAAACTTAATTCTGTCTTAATCTACTATGTGATCATTTCTATTTATATACTGTACTTGTGGTTAAATAGGTGTGTGTGTGTCCTTCTGTGTGTGCGCCAGGTACCTCCAATGAGGTAGCAATCTTCCTGTCCCGTGAGGACCAGATCATAGTGAGGATGCGAGGTCTTCCTTTCACCGCCACACACGAGCAGGTGCTCACCTTCTTCTCCCCGGAGGATCTCAAAGAGACATGTCCGGTCAGCGGAGGGAAAGATGGCATCCTATTTGTTCGCTATCCAGACGGCCGTCCCACTGGTGATGCCTTTGTTTTATTTGCCTGTGAGGAACACGCCCAGTGTGCTCTGAGGAAACACAAGGAAATCCTTGGGAGAAGATATATTGAGCTGTTCAAAAGTACGGCAGCAGAGGTCCAACAGGTACGGCAGGGTGTCTGTCTGCATGTGGGTGTGCTTCTTTGTGCAGTGTGTACTAGGCAAAGTGCATATATTTGTGTGTGTGTTCATTTTTAGCTTGTAGAAAGTCTTCTATATGTGTCCATTTCTTTTTGTATTAAGTTTTGTTTGTGTGTGTGGTTCTTTTATTCTCAGGTAGTTGTAGTAATCATTATAGTAGGGCTTATGGGTGGGGACCTGCATAGCAAAGTGTTTCCCTCAACACAAATGTGAAACATTACTCGTCCCTTTTTTTGTTGGTCTTCCTCAGTCTTTCTCCCTCTCTTCTGGACTAATTTTCTTATCTTCACGGGCCGATAAGCACACAACCCGCAACCATATCTATGCAGACGCTTCTCCTCATGCTGTTACGCATGACAGACTGAGGAGTTTTATTGATCCTCTCCAGAAAAAACAAACCAGCAAGCTTCTAACTGACGTTTCAACACACATTTAAACACTGCTGTTGTACACAAGTTGTGCGCTAAAAGTTGGCCTATGCTGCATGTGTCTCAGTATGTACGCACTTTCTTGATTTTTGAATTTTAATTATTGATAGCAAGTACGTTTTATGGTGTTTGATTGTAGTATTTTTTTTTTTTTACAAATTATCTTCAAAAGGGGAGAAAGTCTTCCCTGAACTAGACTCAGTTTGAATCAGTTCTGCATCCTTGACTGGCAGGGTATGTCATTTTTAACTGTGTGTGTTTTAGGTGTTGAACCGGTACTCGTCAGCCCCTCTGATCTCAGTGGCCCCTGCCCCCC